TCGCTGCTCTCTTCGTCTTCGGACGACGTGTCGCTCTCTGGCGGCGCGTCCAGGAAGGCGCCGAGGGAGCTAATGACGCGCTTCTTGCCCTTCTCCTCGCCCTTGTCCCTACACGACATTCTAGTTCTTCGACGTGTCATGAGCAAAAGCAACCACGTACGAGACGACGAGGAGACTGGGGACTTTGGCGCGCCACGTGCGCGGGATGCCGGCTTTGAAGAACGTGCGAACTGACGGGATCGGCACCGACTTGGTGGCCATCGTGCCGACCAAATGCACTGCTTCGCCGGCCGCCGATAGAAAGTGCCGTGGCGACTGGTACGACTTGTATACGACACTAACCAGTGGACCGTCCTTGCTGCCGTCGCACCCACGCACGGTCTACACGTCTCATGACACCTTGTGGTATGCATCCATAGAGCTACGAGGATGAGGTTGGTCGCGCTCTTCATGCGGGGCGGCCACACGACACTCCACTTGTGCAGCTCGACTAGACACGACTCAAGCCGCAGCGTACGAGAGCCAACGACCGCACCTGACTTTTCGTCGACCACGAGGTCGCTCTCGTTGAGGCCACGCATTTCCTTGACAAACTCATCGCTGATACTGCGTGACGCGCCATCATCATCGTCTTTGACATCGTCATCGTCGTCGTCATCGTCGTCATCGTCGTCATCGTCGTCATCGTCGTCATCGTCGTCGTCGTCACCACTGGCATCGTCGCTTGAAGACACTACACAGCGTTCTTCCGAGTTGTCTCCGGGCCAAGAGGCATGATACCGCTCTGAAAGGTAAAGTGCTTGGCCAACGGGTCGACACGTCTGTCTTTCATCGGAAACGGTGCAGCGTCAGTGCTCTCCTAGTCGACCCAAATGACACATTGCACGTCGTCACTCCATATCGTACGACTTGCGGCACCGTCTGCGCCGGGCTCGAGGTGACCAGCATCGGCAAATCGTCGTCGTCGCTCGCGTCCGCGGCAGGAACCACAGCGTCCGGTAGTTTGAGTCGCTACGACCTTGTTTACGAGATGAAGGATGTACACAAACCACGTACTTTGCGCGTGCTTGTCGGCGTCGCCTTGGCCACGGAGCGCTTGGGCAGCGTCTTTGGCGTCGCCACTTTGATCGGCGCTGGCCTTTTCGGCGGTGTCGGCAGCGCCTCGGCCTCGGACGACGCAGGACTGCCTCCACCATACTCGAAAGCGACCTCTTCGTCGTCACGCTCCACCGATATGTCCTCCGGCTCAACGATCGGGCTTGTCTGGCGCGGCGACGGTGCTACTTTGCGCGATGATTCACCTTTTGCAGGGCGTGGTTCTACCTTTGGTCGCTGTCTTGATCGGCGTCGGCTTGCGCGACAGGGCTGGCGATGGACTGGGCACAGCGATCGTGCCGCTGCGGTTGGTGGGCGTCGGTGTCGACGGAGGCTGCGTGGTTGCATTCGATGCTGTCGCTTGCTTGGGCGTTTTGGGTCGTGGAAGAAGGAGCGTTGGAGCTTGAACCGCCTTGGAGGGTGTGGTGGGAGACGCTCGAACCGATGCCACGGGAGTCGGTGCTGGCGTCGGTGGTTTTGGCTTGAGCGTCTTTAGCTTGCCCGGGGTTCGCGGCGGCTTGGTCATTGGAGTTTTGGCCTTTGCTGGTGGCGTCTTGGCCTTTCTTGGGGGAGTCTTGGGCTTCGTCGGCGTCGCAGCTTTGAGTGCAAGTGGCGGTGGCAATGTCCTCGCTTCGGTGGTCTTGGCAGGCGACACGAGCAGCGTGCGCTTGGCGGACCGCGGGGCGACGTCGCTAGGACTTGGCGACCGCTGCGTTCGTTTCCGTGTCGTTGAAGGTGTGTGGAATTGCGCCGTTGGCGGTGACAAGAATGAGTTGGTCGGTCCTTCGTCCAGCTTGGTCGGCGTCATTGTCACAGGCGTCACTGTCACAGGCGTCATTGGCACCGCCGCCATCGCTTCGGCCACAGCATGTGACGCTGCAGCTACAACCCTTGTTTGAGCTCCAAGCGATGGGAGAAGAAATGACTGTACGTACCTTGCGCGGGGCTCGGCGTTGCATCGCGCGGCTTGGTCTTCTGAGGCGTGTTGAAGAACTCGATGGTCGTCGATGCCACCGCGACGGGCTTGGTGGCCGACGGCGTCCCGCTCTTCTGTCGCTTCTGGCGCTGCAGGAGCGCCAATTGGTCCGAGAGGCCGAGCGGTGTACTGTCCTTTATGCGCGTCTTCGTCTCGACCGGGGTCTGCACCGGCGGCCGCATCGCCTTTGTCGGAGTCTCGTACTTGGGGTCGATCATTGGGCTCGCGTGCGCCACTAGCTTGGCTTCGCTTGGCGTCATCTTCATGGCCGATGCCGGCTTGAAGACGAGCTTGATCTTCTTCTGCGTCGGCGGCGTCTTGATCGCAGATGCAAACGGCGACTTGGTTGCATCCGCCTTCTGCGCCGAGCCCTGTAGCTTTTGCAGCAGAACCTTGGGCAGCGGGCTGCGCAGGCACAGTGAGTCGAACGCACTCCGGGGTGTCGAGCTGCCAGTGCTTGCCTGAGCCTTGGTCGGCGTCGCCGGATGCAGCTCGCGGTCCACGCCTATCGAGCTCTTCTTCAGCATGCTCATGGGCATCGGGCTCCGCCATCGGAGGTCCGCTTGCTTCATGCGGAAGATCGCGCCGGACTGGACGACGTCGCGGTCGTCGGCCATGCTTTTTGTTCCGTCCTGCTGGTTTGGTCGCAGTCCGGATAATCCACCCGGTCCTACGGATAAAGAGCCAATCCCATCGCGCCCATTTATTATCCGGATGTTCCGCGGTGAATCTTGCAGTTTCGAGAATTGAGGCGCACCGGTATAAAAATGCTTGTATTTTAATACGATGCCGCGTATAATATAATGCGTCGCGTGTGCTTGTGCCTGCATATCTACGCACCTGCGGCGCTCTATTTTAAAAAAGCGTGCACCCTCGAATTAAAAATGCGCCGTTCGCCAATAAAAATAGGCCGCCAGCCGATCCGGTAAAAAAACGTACCTTTGACCATTTGGCAATTGCAGCAGCAGCATGACGACAGCCCTCGGCGCAGGCGTCGCGACCGACAAGGGCCCGAAGCGGACCCAAGAGGTACGGCGACCGAGGCGAGGCCAAGCTCATGGACTGTGCAGGACGCGTACTACATTGGCGGCTACCAGGGCCGGCTCACGCTCAATGGCTTTAACGGCACGGGGCAAGTCCAAGAACTGGGCTGCTATGGCATCTTTGATGGCCATGGCGGCGAGCGCGCGTCGCGCTACGCGGCCGAGTACGTATTTCCCAAGATTCTGAGCCGCATGGACGGCGCCGAGGCCACCGGCCCGTTTGCAGCGAAATGCACGATCGAAGACGCCATCAAGAAGGGGATCCACGAGCTCGGTACGGACTCCACTGTACTTATTACACCGTCTTTGGTGGGTGCTAGAACTTTGTGAGTAGATACCGACTTTTGCTCGCTCTCGAACCACTGCAAGACCCTCTCGCTCGGCCACGGCGGTATTCGCCAGCACACGGGCACCGGCATCGAAGACGGCTCGACGTGCTTGGTCGCCATTGTCCGCGACGGCGTCGTGTACGTCGGCAACGTTGGCGACTCGCGAGCCGTCCTCGTCAAGGAATTTCCCAACGGCAAAGTCAACGCCGTCGCGCTCTCCGAAGGTACATTCACTTGCTCGTCCTACATACGTATCACAGTGTGTGTAGACCACAAGCCGGAGGTGCCCACCGAGCGCCAGCGCATCGAAGCTGCCGGCGGCGAAGTCACGGGGCTTGTCTACGGCCAGCGGGCGCCCGAGTTTGCGCTGAGCATGTGGCCGTTCAACCGCGTCGTCGACGTGCCCCGCGTCAACGGCATTCTCAGCATGTCACGTGCGATTGGTGACGCGTCGCTCAAGCCGATCATCTCGGCCGACGCCGACGTGACGGTGCACGTGCTCACGGCCGCCGACAAGTACTTGATCCTCGCCTGCGACGGTCTCTGGGACGTGGTCTCGAACACCAAGGCGGCCAAGCTCGCGGCCAAGTGTGCGACGCCCGACGCGGCCGCGACGGCGCTGTGCAAGTACGCGATTCGCCACGGGACCGAGGACAATGTCACCGTGGTCGTCGTGGACCTCCGCGGCTGCTCGGCCGTGCCCGAGAGCCCGGCCAACTCGGTCGTCGTGACCAACTCGCACTCGGTGGCGCTTGACGCCCACGCGGCGCTGGCGCCGGGCCCGCCCCGCACGCAGTCGCTGCCGCGCATGAAGTAGTTATCAAATGATCTCTCGGGCCCCTTATTTAAGCTGTATAAACATCTCCACTACGCCCGCTTGGTCTTGGCGAGGTCCTGCAGGACCGCGTGGACCTTGTCGGGGAAGTGGTCGTCAAGCATTGTCCGACTCACGTAGATCTTGAGAAACTGGGTCGCATCCGACCAGCCATAGTCGTAGTCACTGCGGTCCGTGCAGCAAATGCCCGTGCCAGGACGACAACACATGCAAAAGCCGCGCTTCTGCGAGCGCACTTGGCGCTTGAGATGAACGACGCGACCCGGCAGCCACATCTAGACGCACTATAGACTCGATGACAACGATGGCAAGGCTACCTCGTGGATCGGTTCGTGGTCCTGGATCTGCTGGAGCATTGACTTGTAGTTGGTGAGCTGCGTCGTAAACGACGAGGTCGCAACGTCGTCGGCGGCATGGAGGAGGTCGCGGGGGTTCTTCCACGAGAGCGCTTGCCGCATGATGGCAGCCTTGCTCACTTTGCTGCGCCCAATGAGCTCGAGGACTTCGTCCCGCAGGTCCTGCATCGAGAGCAAGCTCGCCCGCGCAATGATGTCTTTGCCGAGAACGACTGATGTGATGAACGTCGACGACGCCTGCGCCAAGCTCGGCGACATGAGGCAGCCCGGCGGGCTGAACGCAAGGCACCGCACGCGCGGGTACTTTGGCTTGAGAAAGATGGCCAGAAGCGCCGCCGCCGCCGCGCCGAGGGAGTGGCCTGTCACGACGAGGCTGTAGCTTGCGTACGTGCCCGGGTAGCACTCGTTGACGGCCAACGGCTCGGGCAGCGGCATCGCGTCCGGGTTGAGCAGCATGTCGAGCACTCGCAAGCGCGTGAGCTCGTCCATGATGTATTCGGCGCACTGCAGCATGCCCTACATCCCAGCAACTTATAGCCACAAACGACAGCGTACGAAAGCACGTACTTGGTGGGCGAATTCACCGCGCCCCGCGCAGCCATACTTGGTCGCGACCTCGTCCATCGAGTAACCATACGCGATCGCATCTGTGAGGCAGTCTTCGAGGGAGAGCGTGCCCCGGATCGCGACGACCACCGACTGCTTCTCGTGGTCGAGCATGACGCAGTAGGCGGGCTTGCACACCGAGTTGGAAAAATCTGCATACACAATGTCATCGGCGGCCGACGACGTCTCGAGCTGCAAGGCGGCTTGGTGCAAGTGCAGCCAGTTGTCGCCGTGCACGTACGACCGATGGCGCTTCATGCACGAGAAGAGCAGCTGCGGCCCGCCGCGCCACGGGTGCGACCACACGTAGAGCATCCAGCCGTAGATCCCGATCGCGTACTTGGAGTAGTGGGCGAGCTCAACAATCGCAGCGTCCAGCGCCTCGTTCGTTTGGTCGAGCGGCCGCATGGCCTCTTCCATCTGCACCAAGTCAAAGTCGATGGTCGAGCTCGCCGATGCGAGGAGGTGCCTTGACGCGCGCAGCTCGCGCATGGTCAGGTGCTCGGTCGCCGTGTTGGTCTCGTGGTACTGGACAGCGCCGAGCAGGATAAAGCCGGCAATGATGTCTGAAAAGACCAAGTCGGGGCTCCCGTAAAAGAAGCGCGCAAACACCGACGCGACCACCGACATGGCGTCCGTGCGCGTGCCGCCGCCGCCAAAGAGGCCACATGTGAAGCACTGGATGCAGCCGCAGCACTGGTGGCAGCGCTGCTCCCACTTTTCCTGGTGTGGAATGTACAAGTCGCTGTTGGGCAAATTTGGGTCGTCAATACCTATCGAGCTCGTGAGGAGCCTCCCGACGGAGGTGCGTACCATGGAGCAGGTCGAGCTCTTCGTTGCGCGAAAGATCGCGACGCAGATTGCCGCTCGAGAGCCGGCGGCGGCGGTGCACAGGCGTGCCGCCAATGATGCAGCACGCAAACACCTGCATGCCAAGGACGTTGACGAGAAGGCCGAGCGCGATGACCTACGGCGGAGCTTCTGAGCATTGTGCACAGAGAGGTGGGCGTACGAGCACAAAGTTGCTGTCGGGCCAGCAGAGCTCGCCGCGGTAATGAAAGACGAGGCCCACCGTGCCATAGGCTGCCATGACGACCGCCCACACAAAGTGGACCATGATGAGCGGCTTCATGAGCACGCGGCTCTCGTGGCGGATGATCGTGCCCTGCGACGACACGTGGAGCTCGAGGACGTTCATAAACATCATAAAGCCGTGGATCGGTATCGCGAGCAAGACAAACCAGAATGGAAAGCCCGAGAGGTTGTGCAGCTGCATTGTCGAGCAGCGCCGGTACGACGAGACGAAGAGAACGGCCGTGAGCACGAACGGGATCTGGAAGATGAGCTGCAGCAGCGCCGGGCAGAAGAAGTCATCGCTGCCGATGCGGCTGCGTCGGCCAAAGAGCACGAGCGCTGGCATGCTCCTTCAATCCTTCGACCTGTCCCGCCTGTCCCTTGGCTGGATTCAGTCTGGCCTCTGCCAAACTCAAAACACGCCAACTCAAAACTCAAAACGCTTTGCAATAAAAATAACACGCAAAAATGAGCAGCTGGCAAGCACAAAGAGATCGACCAACATGACGTGTACGTCCGTCCAGCGCAATGGCGAGCGATGCACTTCGCCCGTCGCGGGCCCCGGCGCCAGCATGTGCGCCCACCACGAACGCCTCGCCCGCCTACTCGCCTTGGCGCCCAAGAAGCCGGCCTCGCCACCGCCGTCCGCAGCATCCGTACCGACGACGAGCGGGCCATCGACCTTGCGCGCCGCCGCGCCGCCGCTCGATGCGTCGCTCTCAGTAGCGCTCCCCGGTGAGCTCAAGCTTGCGTCTCATGCCTGCAACTTTGAAGTGTATCCAAGCTACAGCAAGACGTCAGGTGTCTCGGGGACGCTGATTCTTACCAACTACCGCCTGCGCTTTGAGCCGACGCAGACCATGTCCAACGCGGCCCACCCAATGCTGATGGTGGCCATGAACGAAGGCATGCCCACGGCCGCCGTTGCCAAGCTACTCTACCCGCAGAGCAATGGTCAGTACGACAACCGCAATGCAGCGCCGACCCAGCTCCTCGTTCAGTTTCGCAACCTGCGGACGTGGTGCCTCCGAGGCAACGTCCAAGATCTCATGCTCACGCTCAACCGGCACTGCTTTGGCATCTCGGCTGCCAGCCTCTTTGCCTTTGCCCGCGGCAACATGGACACGAGCGATCTCAACGGTATCCGTCCAACTCTCTCGAGCGAAGATCGATCTGTCGTCTAGGTCATGCGCTCTACGACATTCGCGACGACTTTGCCGCCATGGGCGTGCAGCTCGGGCACGGTCCGTTCCGGCTCACGGAGCTCAACCGCAACTTTACGCTCTGTCCGACGTACCCGGCGCTCTTTGCCGTGCCGTCCCGCATGACGGACGCGCAGGTGGCGTCGGTCGCCGACTTTCGGTCCAAAGGGCGCATGCCGCTGCTGTGCTGGGCGCACGCGAGCAACACGGCGAGTCTCTGGCGCTGCGCGCAGCCCAAGCGCGGCATCTTCAACGCCCAGAGCAGCGACGACGAGCACATGCTGCTGCTCATCGCGCAGAGCAACCACGTCAACCAGCTCGTGTGGATCGTCGACTGCCGCCCCGAGCTCAACGCGCGGGCCAACAACGTACGTTTTGATTCGTTTTTGAGATTCTTCAACAAGCGTGTAGCTCAAGGGCGGCGGTACGGAGAGCGCGAGCATTCGGCACGCGACCGTGACGTTCATGGACATTGCTAACATCCACGCGATGCGCGAGAGTCTCGAGAACGTCCGCGGTCTCCTCCAGTCGCTCAACCCCGACATCGATATGACGTGGCACGCGCGCGTTGAGGTCCGATATTGATACCTTGATAGTTTTTGTCTTATCGCGTGTAGGAGACCAAGTGGCTCTTTCACATTCGCCGTGTGCTCTCGACCGCCGTGCAGACCGCGCACGCGATCCATCGCTCGGCGCAGACTGTCGTCGTGCACTGCAGCGACGGCTGGGACCGCACCGCCCAGGTACTCGCCCTTGCGAACCCTGGAGTAAAAGCGGCGGCTTGCGCGTAGGTGTGTGCGCTCGCACAGCTCCTCTTGGACCCGCGCTATCGGACGCTCGAGGGCTTGATGCAGCTCATCGAGAAGGTGCGCTGTTGCGACAACGCGGTCCTCTGACGTGGCAGCTGCACATAGGAGTGGATCAAGGCCGGGCACAAATTTGAGGATCGCATCAGCGCCGGCAAGGCCGAGAGTACGTCGTTCGTGTGCTACCTTCGAGGCTTCACCGTCGACGTAGACGACGAAAACTCGCCAGTGTTTCTCCAATTTCTCGACTGCGTCTGGCAGCTGTGTCGGCAGTACCCCACGTACTTTGAGTTCAACCATCGCGCGCTCAGCTGCATCTTTGGCGCGACCATCTCCGGGCGCTTTGGCACGTTTGTGGCCAACTGCGAGCGCGAGCGCCACCAGCTCAACGTGGCCGGCCGGACGCCGTCGCTCTGGAGCTACATGCTCCTGTACCGAAGCGACTTTGTCAACCCGTTCTTCCGCGCGTATGCGCCCGAACGCCATAAGGGCGAGCTCGGCGCGCTCATTCCGCCCCTCGCGACGCTCTTGCGCCGTGTGGTGCTCTGGGACGACCTCTACGACAACATTCCATCATTGGGGAACCCGACGCCGCCGCTGCATGCGACGCACCATGTCGAGCCTGCGACGACCGCCAGTGACGATCTTGCCGCCGCATTCGACGCGGCCCAAGCCCGTATCCGCGCGCTCGAAGCGCAGCTGCGGTCGTCGACGCCGCCGCAGTCCGAGCCCGCCCTTTCATATGCGGCGGCGCCCCAACCCCAGCCAGCAATGCCGTACTCGGTACCGGCGCCCCGGTTCGAGCCGGTGATGTCGTACTCGGTACCGGCGCCCCGGTCCGAGCCGTTGGAGTCGTACACGGCTCTCTTGGCGCCGCCCGCGCCCCATTCGGCGCCACTGAGCGCGACGCTGACCATGCCCGTCGCGTCGCAACCGTTGCCGGCTGCCGAGACCCTCTTTCCTGCGCACGAACTCTTCCCCGCGCCAGCGCTCTTCCCGACGCAAGTGACGGCGACATTGGCGACCGAGAGTACGTGGAAGTGTCGCCTCTGCACCAAGAGCAACCCGGTCGGCGCGCCCAAGTGCAGCGTGTGCGGTCGTGCGCCGTGAGCCAAGAATAAGAAAACGCTATAGTATAAGAAAAACCCTTGCGACTAACTAAGAAGGGTCGGTGGCGCTGCGTTGCGCAGGAAATGCTTGCAAATGACGCGCAGCTGAGCAGCGTTCGCGCGGTCCGCCGCCTGCAAAATCTCGTGCACCGTCTCGAGCGCCACCATGGCTTGGAGCGCGGTCTCGCAGAGCTGCTTGAGGTGGTCGAGCATGTACTCGTCGGCGGCCATGAGCAGCTCGATCGCGTGGTCCATCGAGTCGAGGGCATGGGCCTCTAGACTACCACGGTACAAATACGACAGCATGGCCTCAAAGACGTCGAGCCGCATGTCGGGCAAGACGATCTCGGTCGCCGACGCTTCGCGGAAGCCGGCCGAGAAGAGCGCGCGGAACCGGTCGCTGCCGAGCGAGAGCACGATCTTGTGGCCAAACACGCGGCTGCCCTCGACAACCTAACCTGCGTGAGCTCGCCCGATTCGAGAAATGGGCCAAGTACAAAGCTTATGTCGGCAAATTCCGGCGAATTGCAAAACCGGCCGAGCGACGACTGCAAGTTGCTGCAGAGCGAGACGCGGGCGCACGGCGCCGGGTCCGTGTCGAGGACATACATGTCGTGGAGGTACTCGCTGCCGTAGCTGCCGCTAAACACAAACATCTTGCGCTGGTGCACCACGCACGTGTGGCCGGCGCGGCGGCTCGGCCCGTCGCCGATCACAACAATGTGCGGCCTGTCGCGACATGAGCTCTACTGTCTTGGAGGACGTGCGTACTCGGGTGGGGTGTCGTTCGGGTTGGCGTCGTCCTGCGCTGTGCAGGCGACGACGGTCGACTTGTCGAGCTCAACGATCGTGTCGGTCCACTTGGCCAGCTCTACAGACTTGGAGTGTGAGGCAGAGCGAGCAGATGCAGAGGTACGAGGATCAAAGATGAAGAGGTCGTTGAAGCACTTGGCCGGCGCCGCCGACGGCCCCGACCCGCCAAAGAGAAAGATCTTGTCGCGGACGACCGTAAACGTCATGCCGGCGCGCGGGTGGGGCACGAGGTCGCCATGCACGCGAACGCTGCTCCACGTCCACTCGGGCGCGCCGGTTTCGAGCACGTACAGGTCGTTGAGGCGCTTGCGGCCGTTCCAACCGCCAAAGATGTAGAGCTTCGTGCCGACGAGCGCCGAGCAGTGGTTGGCGCGAGGCTCGGGCGCGACGCCGCGCACCTGCGGCTTGGACCACGTGAGCGTGTCAATGTCGAGAAAGTGCAGATCGTTGAGGTACTCGCGGCCGTTGCCGCCGCGGAAGACGACGATACCGCGGGCGTGCGGGAGGTAGTCAGCCGTGTGCATGTTGCACGGTCCGGGCGGCACGCCTTTTGTGACCGGCTCCTCCCAGCGCATCGTGTCGACGTGCAGAATGTGCACGTCGTTGGCGGCGAGCGGACCAGACCCGAGCCAGCCGCCAATGACGTAGACGCAGCCGTCGGCGAGCGTCGCCGTGTGGCCGTTGCGCCCCGCGGGCACGTACGGTCGCTGCGACTGGCCGCTCTGACTGCGGCTTCGTGATGCAGTCAGTAGAAGAAAGTCGTCGTTGCCGTCGTTGCGGTTGTTGGCGGGCCGCGTCAAGCGCGGTGGCGACGCCAAGCTAAAGCTCGACCGGTCGCGCTGCTCGTACGGGTTGCGCTCCCACTCCATCTTGTCACAGTCGAAGACATGCAGACTGTTGTGGTTGCGCCGGCCGTCGTAGCCGCCAAAGACAAAGATGCGCGAGCCCACCAGCGTTGCTACACGAAGCGGTGTTGATGTCCTCGTTATCCTTGTCCTCGTACCCGTGTGGTTCTTGATCGTGGGCGTCGTGCCGCCAATGCGCGTGTCTTCCCAGCGCATGTACATGGCGGGCACCTAGCCAGCACAGCAGCATGAGCAGCCGCAGCCATGCCCATGCACCTGCCTCTGGCACGTTCGAAAATTCGTTCGCGATCAGATCGTGCCGGAACATGCAGCGTTTTCTTGGCGTCGAAGTTCGAACTTTCTTGCTTCGCTTTTAACCGGACAAATCTCCGCCAGAAAGGCCAGCGTCGGAGAAGCGTCGGCAACTGCGTCGCGGCTGCGCCGACGTCGTCAGCCTCGGTGGTCGACGTCGGCGCCTTGACCGCATGCAGGCGCGATGGCTGCGGGACGAGATGCGTGGCAACCATGTCGCGCCAGTGGCCAGCGTTGGTGCTGAGCCCGCTCGCTCCCGCGTTGTGTGTCGCGCGACATGTCCCGAGCGACTGCACCGATCGAGGGCATCGAGCGCCACAGAGCGCCGTGCGATTGGTGAGAGGCAGGCATGCGCGGCGGACGCTGCTGCCGTGACGAGTAGCCAATGGCGTCATGGTCAGACCACGAGCCACGCCGTACCCTGCGGAGGAGCGGTCGCCGGTACGCGCACTCACACCTTGCACTCACAGCGGCGACGCATTGCAGCCAAGATGTGTAGGGTGATGGGCGTGGAGCTAACGCGAGTCGACATGACAGGGTGCTCGTACACTGTACGAACATGACATATTACCATCATACGCAACGCAATGGCGAGCACGCCCTGGCGCGTTGCCACGTATTCCGACACCAACCAATGAGATGCAGTATATGTAGTCGTTAGCGTCGCTCCATCGGGCGCCTACAACCGGCCGCCCGAGTCGGCGATGCGGATCGTGTTCATCGGGCTCGCCGCGAGGATGTTCGAGTTGTTGGAGCGCGGCAGCGAGATGGTGTAGTCCATGTTACTCTCGACGTCGTGGTCGTGCAGCGTCGGCACCCGCGACGAGTGCGTCCCCTCGTCCTTGGCCCACCCGCTCGAGAAGTGCCAGAGCATGACGAGCTGGCGCACAAACATGATGATGCAAAAGGCGCACACAAGGATGACGACTGCATACGAGAGGTTGATCTGGGCGTCGACCGTGATGTCGCCCGTCATGCCGGCCGAGAGGCCAAAGATGATAAGGAGCAAGACCTCCATCGCGACCGCAAAGCCAAACTGGAGCGTCGACGTGAACGGCCGGACGACCACCATCGAGAGGAGGTACACCATGCGCACGACGATGAGCGCGAGCAGCTGCGTGAGCGAGTTGGCCGTGATCGCCGCGATCAAAATGCCCGTGAGCGAGTTTGCGAGCGCCGTGGCGCAGAGGAAGAGCCGCGCCTGGTACGTGTAGTTGGCGTAGACGACGCCAAAGACGGCGCGTGTCGCCCAGCGCGAGAGACTCGCCTCGGTGGCGTCGATGAGCTTGTACGCGCCGACGCCGACGCCGGCGTAGAGCGCGAGCAGCGTCACGATCGCGAGGATGCTCATTGTGTGCGGAAAGCCGGTCGTCGTCGCGTCTTCGAGGACCTCAAACATGCAGATCATGCTAATGGGGAGCGCGGCGAAGAAGACGACGAGGACCACCATGCCGAGGAGACGGTACGAGACCGACCGAAGGTTCGCCGACTTGCGGTGCGAGTCGCTCGAGTTGGTGTTGAACGGGCTGCTGCGCGACGCCGCCCAGCGCCCAAAGAGGCCCGTCACGACGACAGCGAGCAAGAGCACGACGACGACGATGATAAACGCCGTCCAGAGCCGCACAAACCAGTCGTGCTCCGAGACGTTGGAGCGCAGCGAGAACTGGATGAAGCCCGTCGCATCGTACGATGACGAGAGCGACGTGGCCAGTTGGCGGCGCGTGAGCTGGACGCTGGCGACGGCGCTCGCTGCTTTTGCCGGCGCGGACCCGCGGATGAGGAAGTTGAGCCACGAGAGCGAGTCGAGGAAGTTCATGTAGAACGCCTGCGGCACTTTGGCGTACTTGGCGAGCGAGAGCGCCGAGATCTGCTGCACAAAGCCGATGAAGACCGGCAGCTCCCACGAGTTGGGGGCGAGCGACGGCGACGTGTCCGGCGTCACGTACGACGGGTTGGTCGCTTGGAACTGGAAGAACGACATGAGCACGACCGTGAGCCCGATGATGGACGAGATGATGTAGCGGATCGTCTGCTCGGCGGTCGACTCGGTGCCCGTGGTCACGGCAGCCTTCAGGGCGGCAGTCTGCGACCCCGAAAGGTCACCTTTGGCGCGGTTTTTCGTGTCACTGTGCGTGTTGTCCGCGGCTTGGGCCGTGCCCGACCCGCTGCCCGACCCCGGTGCCGGCGTCTTGCCGAGGTTCTGGAGCTGGTCCAACTTGGAGATGTCGTCGGGACTTGCCGTCACCACAGCCGTCACGGTCGACGGCGCTGGGGTGTCCAGCCCTAGAAGACTATCAACAACAGGCCGCGTCGTGGCCTTTGGCGCGTCCGTTTGCGAAATAAGCGCATCGATGATCGGCGAGTTGGTCACTGGAGCCACCGTGACGATAAGAGGGATCTCAGTTGGAATCGCCGACGAGGTTTGCGGCGTCGGCACGACGCTCGGTGACGGCGACGCTGACGATGGCACCGGGGACACACTCGGCGCCGGCGAATCCGACGACGGC